TCTTTTTTTTAAATAGTCCAACCATAAATAACATCTGAAGGCGTTTGAATTAGGTGAGCACTTGTGTTTTATTTAACACACTGCTTCAAATCATGAAAAAGAAATGTCTAATCTAATTTCTAAAAAACATTAATGCATTCAGTGTCAAACAAAGTTGTTAATAGAATAAATAGACATGTTTTTAAACTGTTATTATTTTATTCTCGTGATTTTTAGGACTTGAAATATATCCTTAAAGTAAGTAGGTAACAGTTTAGTTCTGTTTTCTCTAAGTTTATTATTTATGTTGTCTTAAAGATTTTTGTTTACTTTACTAGGACACATCAATTTCCTAATATCCTTCCAGGAGTTATCCTCCTTTTCAGAGTGGTTTGCGATGATAACAATACATAACCAAGGTCAAAATGCAGCCAGTGGAAACTGACAGTTTAAATATGGCAACCCTGTGGACGTGTTGTAAATGACAGGGTCAATGATACATATATATGTTAGCAGTTAAACAAATTTTTGTGTGATTACTCATTGTAGTATAGTGTATAGAACAGCGGCAGTTAAGAGGGAGGGGTGCGGGAAACTGTTGCGGTAGCAAAGTACCGCCGATACTTCTCCAGGCAGAACAAATTGGGTCGCCTTGAGTGCTATAGTAAAATCAGCTCTTAGTTAATGCTCACGCATTGTTCTATTTGACTTAATTATTAATAATTTCTATTATATAGTTATATAGATTGCTCAAAGCGGGTCGTTTGCGAGCGGCCATATTCCCTGGCAAGTGATCATTAATTTGAATCGGTTTAGCAAAACAGTGTTTTAAAACTAATTTCCAGCCTCTGCGTGGTAAAATAAAAATAATGGCTTACATTTTTACTTCAAGGCATAAGCTTGTTTATTTTTAAAATCATGGATAATCAACCTATAACTATCTATATGATTTATCCTGTCAAATCACCAGGCCCACACTAGTGCCATATTAGGACCTATCATGTGCCTGTCAGTTCCTAAGGGTAACCATTTTGTTTGGAATGCCTAATACTCGGTGCGTGGGATCTGTATGTCAGATTGTATTCCGAAAAATAGAATCGCTACTTTTGCTAAATGCAACTAACTGCAGACATTTTAGTTAAATAGGTAATTATTTATACAGAGTGTTTCACAACTTATCCGGCAAATTTTAATTATATATACAGTGTTACATAAGTAGTCAATTACACAAAAGAAAATGTAATAAAAGTCCAATAGAAAATGAGAGTAAATAAAATATTAAACACTTTTCTTTCTACAAATGCTGTTATATATGGTTAAAATTTGTCGGATAGGTTGTGAAACACCCTGTGTAGTAATCAATTAGACATTCCAAACAAATGAATTGCCAGTGGGCAGGTTTGGTAGATCTGACGGTTGCGACATACGATGTATTCTATCTACAATACGTAAAATCATGAATAATGGATTACATTTAAATATTTTATATCGAACACTATAAAAATAATAATTAAAAAAACTGCTTGTACATTTTTAAAAACTGGCAGGATTGGCGACTGATATTTCGAATAAAAATAGCGTCCAAGATGCAAGACTATGTCGCTACCCCCCTTAGATGTACGAGACCTTCCCACTGGCAGGTATTGTTTGACAGGTCGTTGGAATGCCTAATTCTATAAAACAATAATTAAAAAGAGGTTATTTACATTTTATTTTCATTATTTTTGAGAGTGTATTAATTTAAAAGTAGGTAGGTGTATTGAAAACATCCATAGGCGTAGATATCAGCCGTAAAGGGAAATATTTAATATATCGATTTTTTTCATTTTTAATTATTGTTGTAGCAGATATTCATTGTATTCTAAAAGTACTTGGTGCCCAAGTAAGAAAGGAATCTGGTTAATAAATTGTTGGCCGGCGTCCTTTCCTATTTGGACTCCCAGTACCTACTCCGTAGATTGACTATATTGAATTAAGATTCTTTAATATACTATTCTTTCGTGAAAGCAGTACCTGCAGGTGTTGTTATATTTGAATTCACTATTTATTATTGAAAATATGAATAATTTGAATACCTACTAGTTATATTATAAAACTGAAGTCAGTTTCACTTGCAATTTATTTGGCCGCCTGATTGAAGAGAAGTTTATTGCGTATTATAAAATCTAATATCCCAATAATAACTGAAAATCTTATAATGGCTATATCTCATAAACTAAAGATGATATCACCAAATGCTTTGAGCTGGTTCTAAGATACGAACGGGAACTTAAATAAAAAGTACTAAACCCACTTCCCATCAACTCCCTATGCATCACCTACCTCTGCAAAAATAAATAAACAAGTTATAAAAGTTATTTTAAAAAACCGACTTCAAAATCATACAGATGCCCTTAAAAATTGAGTTTCTTGATTTTCTCATAGATTATCAGATCCTGACCAATTGCATATGATATCCCTTTCTAATAAAAAAGAATCATAGAAATCAGATATCGTTGCAAAGAATTATCGCTTCTTGTCAGTTTCTTTATATATAAAATTTATAATTTATAAAGTAAATCATTACCTAAACATTTACAAATAAATAACTGTACCTAAATATGTTTTGAATTAATTTTTGTGCGCCTATGAGGTCTATAACAATCAAGGGCGGATTTAGCTTTTTTTATGGGAGGGGTAAAATTTACCAAGATTACATATTCAAAATAAAATTTTATTAATATTACAAAAATACTAGGACAGTACCTAGAACTAAAAATAGTTAAAACAAAAAACACTTTTAAACTGTTACTAGGTATTAAAAGTCTAGTCAAATAAGGAAGCTGTATACACTTGTCTTTTAATAAAAAAATACTTTAAGGCGCTGCAAAATGATAAACGTGTATTTCTCATTTCTATTTTATGAAACCCTTTTAAAATTAATTTTTTACCCTGTAAAAAATGTAATAAAAATTAAAATTTAAAATGCTCTACAACTTCCTTATTTTCGATGTAAAAAAGGAACAAGAAACCAATAAAATTTTAAATGAAATTACCGTTAAAATATATTTAACATAACTTACCTTACCCTCCTAAGTCAAAAAAAGTCCCACTACGAATAAAGACGTAAAATTAATGAGAACTTTACATCACATTGTTACATTGTAACTCTCATTTTTACTCTTGTTTTCATCTGTAGGACGGACTCATAACCGTCTAAGCCCAGAGTAGGGACGTTTACTTTTGTGATGAAACAATGTAGACATTGCGGTGATATTACAGCGCTATACCATGTTACGTTATTCAACGTTAATGGAAGTTCCCAAAAACTATATCTTTTTAACAAACCAGATGTGACATTCCTGTTATATCCAAGAAAGTCTTTTTTCTTGTAGATGTTATAATAAAAGCCCATTAAATAAAATCATATTACTGAACCAAATGTGACGTTTCAAATACAAAATACAGTTCATACCTGTTTATTTTTATCTTTTAAATTTTATATGGAATATGGACCATGTTATATAAATATTTTATATTTCATCTATATAAAACTATAAAAATAAATAAACTTGAAGTTAAAAGCTTAGAAGACAAGTTGAACTTCTAATTCCTAATCCCAGAAAATTTTACAGAAAAAGTATAATAATACAATGGTCTAAATTAATATCAAAGGTAAAAGTAAGAACTTTGATGAAATACTTAATACTTAGCAATATACTGCTCCATAATATACAGTAGGTACTACCGGTTACGTAAGTAGCAAGCGATCATTGGTATCTCCATCTATGAACGCGGGACGAACTGTTAGGTCTGCCAGGTCTGCGATGTAAAGACTAAAGATGGGTAACTTGTACACATTACTGTGCTGACCTGTATGCGATATTATTGTGATTTATAAAAATTAACATCGTTTAAATGTTTGTCACAGGAAGTATCTAAAAAGAAGTACAAAAGATGTTTATGTAACTGCTAATTCAAGTATTGCAGCGTACAAAAAACTTCATTTGTAGATATATGCTAGGAATGTTAATGAATATGAAGTTAAACTTTAAATATCTATGAGATATTTTGGTATTGTTTCAAAAATATATCAAAAAAAGTCTCTATGAGAAACGTTACAAAAAAGACTGGTAATGTTTCATGTTTAGTGGGGTATTTCAGTTGAAGCGAGTTTCGAGAGAAAGCATATTTTCTAAAACTTAGCACCCAATGGGTCATATGATTGAACGTTTACGTTATCTGTGACGTACATGTTAGACCAAATTTTAAAAGTAACGAGGCAAGTTCTTATGATGGAAACCTGTTAAATTAGAACATAACAGGCGGAAAATAACAGTAATGTGTTGAAAAAAGTTTTCCATCGTACGAACTTGCCTTGTTACTGTTAAAACTCGGCCTAACATGTACGTTACGGATAACGTAAACGTTCAATCATACGACCCAATATGTATGCCCTATTTAATCATATAAATAATCAAACAAACTCAGAAAAAACAGTTTACACAAAAAATAGCTGCAACCAACCAAACACTTTTATGAATGAAACAAATTTATGAGTTTCTCTACAAATATCGTCAAACGTAATTGCGATGATGCCAGACATAAAACTTCTTCCGATGATTTAAAGGCAAACAGTATTGCAAGCTAATGTATTTTCTTTACTACTGTTAAAAACACCGTAAACTTGGTATCAATATTCAATCAGATTATTGTATTTCTGCCAAAGACGCCAACGTTGAGACCAGAAATTTTGTAAATAATACTATATGTGGGTATATCTATGGGTATGGCACTGTAATAGTTAAAATAATTTCTACTTTTATACGACCTTCAAACTCAAAATTAACGATTGAATGGTTTGTGTTTGTTTGGCACACAAATTACCTCACACTAATCAGCGTATTAATATTATACACAGGTGAAATTTATCAAACCTCTATTAGCTAAGCTTAATACAAAAAAAAACATTTTTTATATAAAAACAAAAATAAATTTCGTAGTTCAGTCCTACATAAACTTACAATGATTATTTCTTAAAGTATTTCAGTGATCAAAGTTTTGCAAGATCTCTCATTAAATCCGCAGAATTGCAATCAAGATGGGCTGATGTGTATTTCTACGAATTTCAGTATCATGGTGTTTTAGGAGGATTTACCAATGACCCAGGTTAGTTAAAAATAAAACTAAATACGGTTTTCAATAATAAAATTAAATGCTAGAAAATATCTTTATCCCAAAAGATACCTTTGAAGTAACCTAATTTTATCGAAGAATACGATAGATTTAATTTTTCTAAATTAGTGTGTACATTTCACTTTCAGTTTTTAATATAGTTTTTTAACATTTTTTAATATGGATGCTCTAAACAGGGAGATAATAGACCTAATACATCTAAAAATATACTTTTTATAATGAACCAAAGGTCAAAAAAAAGTTTCTTCAAATATTCTCTCTGGAACCGTTTGTCACATATATCAGCTTTTATACGATTAGTATCACTAAAAAAGTACTTTTTTTTCACTGCTAAATGATTGATTTTGCATGAAACAATGGCGGAGATTTTGGGGTTACCAGTGGTTTTTTAGTCCATTAACGCTATTATTTATTGATTAGTAGTCAATCAGAGGAATTGTATTAGTTTTGCTGTAATTTTTTTTAATAAATTTTGAAACCATAGCATTTTGAATGGAAAACGAAGATACCTTTTAAATGAGGTACCACAAGCCCTTCTTCCAATTAATTTCACTTAATCTGAACGTTTTTCTAAAAACATAAATGGACGAAAAAACACTCTTCAAAAGTGTACTAAAACGTCCTAGGCTAGAAGTAGAGTCGGTAATGATACTCTGTATAATCATTGGGCGCGTTAGTTGATTTAAACCGAAAACATGTTTCTGATATGGTGGAAGTCAACAATTAAAAGTACCTGAATGGCATAAGTTGGTTCAGCGATTAGACAACATACACGTGGTGATCTCTAGTGGTGATATAATTAAAATCATTGTCGGTTACAAAGTAAGGTCATTAAAAAATATACTAAAGTCATAAAGAGTCACATTAAAATTTAAAAAACAACAAGTTTACACCAAAATTCCATGTTCAAAAGTTAAGAAATTTGAGGTTACAATCACATATAATCTAGAGTGGTGAAAAATCCCCATGACAATCAATAAAAAATCACTAGAAATTCTTAAGTTGGAAACACTGGGTATAATCGTTTACAAGAGTCACTATAGAATTTTCCTGGTGCCGATGTTAAGCAATAGTTAAAACTAACCAAAACTCAACAAATGCCGTTCAGAAAACCCAACAAGTCACCATACTCAACTGTCGCTTCGGCTGAACGCGCCCATTGACATATTTTTTTCTACACCCTATCTTTAAAGTACTTTGTATTTCACCGATTTGTAGCTACTGTTTATGGTTAAAGTAAAAAAAGTAAAAAGTGTCATAACGTTAACTTTATTTCACGCTTTCCATAAGCAATTGTTCCACACCTTTGACTTGACAGTACATGAACTATAATATGATTTGACGTTAACAGATTTGTTTATAGTATCAATAATTCGATTTGTTTTAATTTAGTAGTTCTTCATTATTATTATGGATGGTGAAGATTCCGAGTTTGAAATATGTACTCCCGAAGAAATCATAAAAAAGACAAATGTGCCCACATTAAATTTGGTGCCAGAGAAATTCAAAGAAAATTATCTAAACGAATATGACACTTTTATGAAATGGGGGAACCAGAATAATATTCATAGCTTTACAGAGCGGGTGCTATTAGTTTTTCTGTCTTCTACATCATGGTCCAGCTATTCCAAACTAAAAGCAACCTTAATTATTAATGATAACGTTATATACCTAAATAAATATTCTAAATTATTAACATTTCTAAAGGAGTTTAATTAAAATATTCCAAATTATTATTTTGATTTTAATATTTGTACAGGGCGTAGAAAAAATATTGTATGTAATATATGTATAAAGTGTATTTTTTCACTTATGGAATTGTCGCACTCGCCTCACGGCTTGTGCGGTCAACTTTTCCATTCGTGAAAAAGTACCACTTTATGCACTTGTTGCATAAATTATTATTTTTTTATAGTTATTGGTTTTTCGGATGACTGCAGACATGGTGAAGAAACTAGTTACATTTTAAGGCGCAATTACGGAGGTTTAAACACTACTGATCTCTCGAAGTACCCTGAAATAGATCAAACAGTCCAAAAGAGGATCATAAGGATGTGGACTGATTTTGCCAAATATCTGTAAGTAAAATCACAATCGAAAATAAAATAATTCATGTAATGTTTTGGGAGCACTCGATTCAAGAAACTTACAAACCATCGAGAACAATCATAATTGGAGCTGTGAAAATTAAATATTTTTCTACGATCACTCTCCAAAGTAGACTTTTGCATATTCAAATCTAACTGGAAAGTTGACGTTTTCCATGAATTGTCATAGTTTGACATTATTGCCGCATATAGGCGGAAAGTTACTTTTTGCACACGCCTATTTTCATTAAAAAATTTCACTAGAGAGGTTGCTATTATAAAGCTAATCGGTATTTTAAAAGAAAATGTAGACTAATCTGAATCTTTTAGTTGAACATTTAATACTCAAACTCATTTTCCTTAATATTTAAATGATAATTAAAATATTAAAAATAAATTACCCTGTTTTTAAGGTATTTAACATGTCTTGCTGGTGTAGAGCAGGCCTGCACAACATACGGCCCGCCATTGTCGTTTTGGCGGCCCGTTGGCCGTCGGCCGTTGACCAGTTTGGCCCGCAGTAACAAACGCATTTAGGCTGACGAACTTTTTTTTTATAAACTCGATCAGCAGGAATTAGTTTATAAATTATTATAAGCTGACAACTTTTTTTAGAAAAGCTCGGTAGAATTATAACGTGAGGACCTTTTTATTAGAATCTGAACAGACTACTATAGACTCAGGTCTCTCTTGGCCCTCGTACACTTACCGTTTCTCAACCTGGCCACTTTAAAAATCTGAGTTGCGCAGGCCTAGTGTAAAGCTTAGCGCGTTTATATTTAAACCTGATGGTCGTGAGTTCAATCATCACCAGTTATAATTTTTTTTAATTTGATTTTTTTGTTTGTAAAATTAAATAAAACTTAAAACAGCGTATGAGCCATTAATTTGCGATTTGAGTATTCTAACCGATGATCTTGTAAGTTATATTTAAGATTTACTTACTATCAAATATTTTTTATGCGTATCATAAAATTAATCCTAGAGTAAGCAGGCAACACAATATACACATACTTTTCGCTTGCTAGTCAAGTTAGCCGTGTGTGTCAAATTAACGTAGTAAGATTTGAATTCGGCAAAATAAAACTATATACTTTTAATATCGTGTGATCGTAGAATATAGTGTGTAATTCGAGCTGAAAGCTATTTGCAGCTTACGATAAAATACCGCACTCCGCTTCGCGTCGCGCGGCAACTTTTTATCTTAAGCGGTAAAGTAGCACTTTCCACTCTTAATACACAAATAGTACACAAATAGCTATTTTTTTGGTATTTTAGCCAGTTCCATCCCAAGTAGCATTATAATGACAGAAACTTATATTGCCACTTCGATTAAGTGACTATTACGTTATAATCACTAAATGTACCCCTATATAGTGAGAATAACTTCATTTTATATTTTCCTAGTTCCACGTGTATTTCACTACTGGGAATCACTTCAAAGTTTTATATTATTTAGTTGCCTCTGAAGGTGTTTAAAACGTTATAGCCACTAAACGGGACCACTTTAAAGTTGCACATGGAAAATAGTAGTTACGGCCACCAAATTATATTACTTAAATACCACCTAGAAGTGGCAGTAATCCTAAAGTGAGTTTAATAGTTTTAGTAACGTTTCGGAAACCATAAATATATCTTTAAAGTGGCTGCACTTGATTGTATAACTGCAGTAGTTCTTGCCACGTTTTTTCCACGCTCTTAAGTGATTTCCACATATTGCGTGCTACAAAAGCCACTTCAAAGTTACTATTACCTTCAAAATTCACAATGAAGTAACCGTTGCCTATTAGTGGCCTGCTTTCTACATTGTCCGCCTTTACAATAAAGAAAAAAATACTAAAGTGCCGTCGATCTGTGCGCAAATTACTTCGTTTTTAGACTTATCTAGAGTGCATTTGTATGTAAAACAAACATCCCTCTTTTCTCGATTCGATACAATTTTAAAACTCATCTAAATCTAAGGTGTGCACACAAACACAATGTAAAACATTAAATACATAAATTTAAGTGATCTGTGACATAACCAAATTTAACCGGCGAAATCTACTGTAAATTTTAAGGTTATATGGAATAATACAACTAATACAGCGTTGCGATATCATCAGAGCGCAATTTCCCTGAGAAGATATACTATACACATTTTTCCCATAATCTTCTTGAATGTACACTATATTTGTACAGGGTGTTCAGTTATTTCTAGAACGGCACTTATAACGTTTATTAAAAGAGATAAAATAAATTGTTAAATACATAAGTTATAAGGCTTTACTAGAAATTACTATTAAAGTAAACAAACGGTAACCAGAAAGGTAACTAACAAGTATCAACTTTGTGAATTAAAATGGGAACATATATTTTTTACTATGGCGATTCCAAATATACTGTACCTTAATATTTGATTAAGCCGTTTTACGCTATTCAAGATTAAAATTGCTTTAAATTTACATTATATTCTTGATCTAGGTTGATGGATAGATAACATATTTGAATTTAAGGTAAATTTTATTTTACCCCCTGACATTGGCCTTATTGAACAACTCAAAAACTCTGAAATAAGTGGAGAAATGGCTGATCTGGCAACAAGGTAAATAATTAACTTTATATTGGCAAACACTAGGTGGCAAACACTAGGTGGCTGCCACGAAATCGCCACTTTGAAGTGGTGAAATATATTTTGGATTGGTTCCAGCTGCCACTTATTTGATGAAAGTAACTACAAAGTGGCATATTTTTAGTTTCTGCAACTTTAAAGTTTTTTTCCTGAAGCAGACATATTTGTAACCATTTTTAAGATCGCCATTATGAGAAAATAAAGAGGTGCTATATAAAAAAATTTTTTTCGTCCCTATAGCTTCAATGCAATAAAATTCAAATATATTTAATGATTTTAATTAACCAAGATTGATAAGAAATACTGTTTAAGGCATCTAAATAAATAATTTCAAATATGAAAAATTTACAGATTTTTAACTTTTTAATTAAATAAAGAGTATTCCAATGGCGCGTGCCAATATTTCGAGCTATAATACCTATATTTGACAGTAAACTTCCAATCCAACTTTTTGCCTATCAGAATTCCTGAATCAATATTTTTATAATACCTTATTATTATTATTATTATTCAGTATGTAGGTACCTACTTATTAGTTTACTAGTTATGTCTAGTTAGAGAATAAGCAAGGAGAATGGGAGAAATAATTTGCAGGACGGAGACCGAACTACAAATATCAATCAAAAGACAAGGGCAGTAAGCAAAGTTCAGCGTTTAGTGTCGGCCACCTTACCGCCACGTTTTTCGCCACGTTTTCGCCACGTTATCGCCACGTTTTTACCACGTGGCGTAAACGTAATTATATAAGTTCCGGAAACGTGGCTGGAACGTGGTTGCCACCAAGAAAGTGTTCCCCATTTTGGTTACCGCCACGTGGTAGAACCGTGTCTATTACGTGGCAGAAACTTTGGTAATACACTTTAAAGTTTCTAAAGTCGTGGTAGCCACGTTCCGCCCACGAAAAATGCTACTTGGGACAGAATAATATTTATTACCTGACATTTTCATTGCATGTAAAGTTTGAAACAACAAAAAAATGGACAAATAATTCATTTAATATCGAAATCACGGCAGCATCCCGGCTTAGCAGGTTCAGGTTGATAATTACCTCATATTCTATTAATTAACATATTCAGAAAAATAAAGCCAAGCCTCATCTGAGAAAAAAAAACTGTTAGGGATAGATCATTTAGGAAAATTCTACTCGTCTTGGATAATGCTAGTGTCTTTTTTTAGACTGAGTTGGAATATACCATAAGACAAATTGTTTGTTAGGCCACTACTAAAATCGATGTTTTTGGACTTTCATTAAATAACATGCCGAAAGGCTTCAATATTTTCAACTGCACGTTTAGCCACTCACTACCAGTTTTTCTGAATAACTAACCACAAATTGTCAAAACATTGTAAACATTATTGTAGTCAATAATTGAGAATGTTCTACAAAAAAATGAGCCCTGCATACTGCCACTCACCATTTACTTTGACATGTGTACGGAAGTAACATTCGATATTGTTTTGCTTTTCACTGTGTAGTTACCATTTTTTTATATTTAATTTTCTGAATATAAGTTTAAAAAATTTGTCACAAACGTTGAGTTTTAATTTTAAGGCCACTATTAGTGTAGTTTTGAAAAGTACTTATGTTTTCATTTTTTGATACCCAAATATTGTTCAGGTAGTTAAAATAACTGCAACATTATAATAATAGAGAGTTATTGCAAGATCACTTAAGGTCAGTCACTATTAGTGCCGCTCTTATTTTGACATCTAAGCATGCGCAGATCACTTACATTCTATAACTGACTTTAATAAAGATTGTGCCTGTTAGAGTACGATTCAACTTAGAAAAAGCCACGGGCGTCATCAACTAGTCATCGTCTGCCTCACTTTAAAATATTCCTTCTTCGTTGCTCCAGATCGATATACCAGTAGCGTAGGCTCTTATTTAAATAAGAATTAAAGCAGTTTCCCAACAAAAAACATTTATTGGATTAAAAAGTTAAATTTTAATGATTTAAACATTTGTATATTACCTAAATAACTAAACTAAAATAACATTACATATATTTTTCGACTTCAGACTTGCAAAACATTCAGTGGGAAGTAAATAGTGGCTAAAGTACCAACTCAAAACATTTTTATTCTCAGCCAACAAATTATGATTTTTATCGATGGCTCGTTTTAAATTTGTACATTGCAGATGGCGCATTCCACCATTGCCCGAATTATTGAAAATATTAAGCAATTGTTGGCGTAGTAAAGGTTTACTTGAATCTTTATTACATTAGATTTTTTATCATTGTTAATTTACATTGTTTCTATAAAGCTTAAATCTACTGTTTATTCATCGGCCGTAGCCGGTACAGGTGGATCTGTATCAACCTTGTGAAAAGAACCCCTTATCCATAAAATCAAAGGCTGACGTACGGCACATTGT